GGTCGCGATGGCTCCGTCCCGCGCTACGCCGATCGCGCGCTCCCGCCAAAGCCGTACGACGAGGGCGAGAAGCGCATGCGCGACCACCTCGTCAGTCTCTTCTCAGACGACAGTGTGCTTGCCGGCGTCGCTGAGCCCGTCACCGCCACCGATGCTTCGCCGTCCTCGGCGCCAGCAGCGTCGGCCACGGCTGCTTCGGCTTCGACCGGCGCTGTCGCCAACGAAGCTGCCAACGGCACTGCGGACGACGACGACGCGTACGTCGCCAAGCTCGACCATCTGCTGGCCGAGCTGCGCGACAAGGCGAGTCTGGGCGGGTTGGGCGGCAGCAGCGGCTCCGAGGGACCGCGCGCGACGGTGGACCTGGTCACGGACGACCACGGCCATACGGCGCTGCACTGGGCGTCGGCGCTGTGCCGACTGGCGCTGGTGCGCACGCTGGTGGCACGCCCGCACTGGCAGGGCGGCGCCAACGTGCACGCCGGCAACCATGCGGGCGAGACGGCGCTGCACCGATCGGTGCTGGTGACCAACTCGTACGACGCGTCGTCGTTCCCCACGCTGCTCAAGCTGCTTGCGCCCTCGCTCAACACGCGCGACTTTAAGAAGCGCACGGTGCTGCACCACATTGCGCTCGTCGCGGCGCTCAAGGGGCGTGCGGCGTCGGCGAGGTACTACCTCGCCTGCGTGCTCGAGCTCGTCGCGGCCGACAAGAGCTCCAAGTACAAGGGGCTCGTGGATGCGCAGGACGAGGACGGCGAGACGGCGCTCGGCATCGTCGCGCGTCTGGGCAATGCGAGCATGGTGAGGATGCTGCTGGATGTCGGGGCGCGCAAGGATCTGCCGAATGCGCTGGGGATCCGACCGTCGGACTGGGGTATCGAGAGCGGCGGCGCCGAGACGCACGACGGCGCGTCGGTGGCAGCGAGTACCGTGTCGTCGCTACCGCCGCTCACGGCCGCGGATTTGGCATCGCACAATCCGGCCGATGTGATCTCGGCGCTCACGAGGCCGGCACAGATGCCCGTGATGAAGAGCAGCGACGTGCGCGATCAGCTCAGCTCGACGCTCGACGACCTGCAGGCCACATTTGCGCGCGAACTGGGCGAGAAGAACGACGCGCTCGCCACGGTGCAGAGCCACCTGCAGGCGGCGACGCGCGATCTGGCCGCAAGGCGCAAGACCGTGGGTGCGGCGCAGGCCAAGCTGGCGGAGCGCGACGAGGCGAGGCAGCGCGCCCAGAACCTGCGTCGTGCCATCATCGCACAGCTGGCCATCGACGATGCCGATGCCGAAGCCAGGCTCGCTGAGCTCCAGCACGAGGCGGAGGCGGCGTCGGCGGCCAAGGAGGCAGAGGCGATGGACGTGGATGGCGACGTGGTCGGGTTGGTCGAGTCTCTGGCATCTTCGATCGTGGCTGCCACGGACGAGGTCGAGGGGGATGCAGAGGTAGAGGAGCTGGTGAGGCTTCGGTGGGTGGTGTCGTTCCTCTCGCACAGCAGCGACTCGCTGGCGGCGCATATCGGCGAGCTGGAACAGGCGGCAGCGACCAAAGAGGCGCAGTGCAAACAAGTCGTGGCGATCTGCGCCAACATTGCGCAGGACAAGGTGGAGGGTATGCTCGACGAGCTGCTCACCGCCATGGAGAGCGACGGACCCGACGTCGACCTCGCAAGGGTAGCCACGTTTATGGGCAAGGTCGCCGCGCCAGAGCAAGGTGAGCGCAAACCGGGTCTGTCTACCTCGACCTCAGGAAGCACCAATGTGTCGAGCGCAGAGACCGCCGCGAGCTCCACCGTGCCCGCGCCTGCGCCAAAGGGCGAGGCAAAGTGATTGTGGTATAGTTGCAAGGTGAAAAATATCGGATGATACCAACTATTTGCGGCGTGTGCCTGCTACAGAGTGAGAGGTTGGATTAGCTCGGCTCGGTCTTGTTTCATGTCGCCCGGTGCCGGCGAACTGGACACAAGAGGGCATCGAGAGCTGGATGTATGAGGATTGATTTCTAGCATGTATGAAACAAGCAGTGTGGACTGACAGCGATGGGAAACGCTGATCTATCCCTGCAGGATCTCCTTGGAGACGACCTTGCCGTCCTGGTCGAGCTTGTACAGGATAGGGACGCCCGTGGCGAGCTCGAGGCCGACTGTCGAGTGCAGGTGAATGTGAGGCAGAGGTCAGCAGGATGCAACGCGCGATTCGGCTTCGGAAGGGTTCGGATGTGCATACCGATATCGTCGTCCGAGATGTTCTCGATGTCCTTGATCATGGCACGGAGCGAGTTGCCGTGGGCGGCGACGATGACGTTCTTGCCCTGCTTGACGAGGGGCAGAATCTCCTTGTGGTAGTAGGGCCAGACACGCTCAGCGGTGAGCTTGAGCGACTCGCCACCGGGAGGAGGGATGTCGTAGCTGCGGCGCCAGATGTGCACCTGGTCCTCGCCCCACTTCTTGCGTGCGTCGTCCTTGTTGAGGCCCGAGAGCTCGCCGTAGTCGCGCTCGTTGAGAGCCTGGTCCTTGTGGATCGTAATGTCCTCCTGACCAATCTCCTTGAGCTGGATGCCCAGCGTAGTCTGCGCACGCTGCAGGGCCGAGGTGAAGGCCACGTCGAACTTGATGCCAGTCGCAGCAACACGCTTGGCACCCGTGAGCGCCTCCTCGCGACCAAGCTCGGTCAGAGCAGGGTCCTTCCAGCCCGTAAAGAGGTTGAGCTTGTTCCATTCGGACTGGCCGTGGCGCGTGAGGACGAGAGTTCCAACCATTTTTGCAAGATCTTTTTGGTCACCGTAAGAAGAAAGGGGAGATGATGGTGAGAAGGTGGAAAGGTATGCACGAAGGCGCAACAAAAAAGGGTGGCCCCAACGCTCGTGCGCTAGAATTCCGCTCGAGCGAGCACCTCATCCAGAGAGACAGCCGGGCGATCTCGTGTTGGCTTTGTCTCGCGTCTTTTTCACGGTTATCGATCGGTGCGCCTCGGGCGAGGGCTGCCACTTCAGGGTTCGCAGACTCCCCCAAAAAGCAGCGGCCCAGCGCGTGCGCGTGTATTCGGCCGGTTGCTGCAAGTTTACAGTGTTAGGCCGAAATGATGTTGAGTGAAGGCATGGCTGTGCCTGCACCGTGCGCTATGTGCGGTGCCCCTCTGAGGCTTAGCCCGAAGAAGCTCCGCGATCGCTTGGAAATCGGCAGCTGAGCTTCACAGCCACGCACGGCCACACGCCCACACACCGGCAGTTCCTCCACAAGCCGCCCACCGACGGCGACGCGCTCGGATCAGGCGATCCGCCGCCTGGAACTTGGTCACGCACACGCATCCCATCCACCCGTCATCCTCACCACCACCACCACCATCACCCACGACCTTAAAGCCGCACAACATGTCGCTCACGGTCAATCTCTCATCGGCGGCGATCCGCGACGCCTACGAAAAGGTGCTCGACGGCGCCAAGGACTATCTGGTGCTCACGTACGAAAAGGCGTCGAACGATCTGCGCGTGCAGGTGTGCGAGAACGGCGACCTGGACGACCTCAACGAAGAGTTCTCGGACGGCCGCATCCAGTACGCCTTTGCACGTGTCAAGGATCCCAACACGCAGCTGCCCAAGTTCGCACTGATCAGCTGGTGCGGCGACGGCGTGCCCGAGAATCGCAAGGGCCTCTTCGCCACGCACTCGTCCGCGGTGGCGCAGTATCTGCGCGCGTATCACGTGAGCATCAATGCCCGCTCCGAGGCGGATGTGGATCCCAAGCAGATCATCCGCCGCATCGCCGAGTCGTCCGGCGCCAACTACTCGGCAGCAGGCCAGGCGGCCAACACGCACAAGGGCGGACCCATCGGATCGGTCGGCTCCAGCTACCAACCCATCGGCACGCCCGACATCAGGGGCATGCAAAAGTCGGCAGCTAAGGACACCATCGCGCCTGTAGGCACCAACTACGCCTCCAAGAGGGACGAGCTGCAGCAGATCCGATCGGGCACCGCCAAGCCTCCGCAGCTGCCCAGCGCTCCTCGCGTCAATGCGCCCGCCTTCGATTCGGCACCAGCAGCTCCCAGCGCCCCCGCGGCTCCTCCAGCGCCAGCCGCGCCCGCAGCTGCACCTGCTCCGAAACCGTTCAGCGCGCCTTCCGCGGTGCCTCCAGCTCCTCGACCCGAAGCACCGTCTGCACCGACGAAACCGGCCGAGGACGACCGCATCCAGCCGGTGGGCACGGCGTACCAGCCAGTGAGCCTGGGCAAGCCGGGCAAGCTCAACATGGCCAACCGATTCCCCTTTGGGCAGCAGAACGAGACGTCGTCGGCACCCGCTCCGGGCCCGCGAGTGGCATCGGGAGGCGCGCCGGGCAAGCTGACGTGGAGCCAGCGCCAGGAGGCGGCGCGCAAGGAGCGCGAAGAGGAAGAGGCGCGCG